TTTGTTTGTTTACATTTGCTCTCATAGGAGCTAATATATACATTTAAATTTAAATTGGTCAATCATAATTTTTAAACTATCGTATTTTGACAAATTAAGTTAAAAAGGCGTTGAAGTATTTCAAAATACCTTTTAAACGAGGTATAGCACATGTCTGTACCTTTAGTAGTATAGAACTTACAAACTAACGAAATTTAGCTATTTTTAGCTTTTTCCCGCTAAAGTAGCGGCTTTTTCCAAAAGTCGTAGAACAAAAGATTCCTATATGGAACTCTTAAGTGCAAATTTACAGATTCCATGACCCTAAAATACAGTTCGGATACCCTCCCACAAAATTCAATACTCAGGGAGCGTTAATTGTTCGAGCTGGCAAAAGTGGCTATTTTCGTATAAAAATAACTTTTAAACGTGACTTTTTACAGTAATGTGTTATATACCGAAATTTAAGGAATCTCAAGGGCTATACAGTTTAAAGTTTTCAAGAAAATCGTTAGAGCCGTTTTTGAGAAAAATAAAAAAAAGCTAAAAAAAAAGTTTTAAAAAATTGTCTTTTGTTCATATCTTTTTAATTATTACATTTACACAAATTGCATATAGAAGGCGTTTATAGCATTCAAAAATACCTTTCAAACAAGATGCAGCACAAGTCTGTAGCTTTAGTAGTATAGAAGTTACGGTTTTCCGAATTTTAGCTATTTATAGCTGTTTTCCCGCTAAACTAGCGAGTTTTTCCAAAAGTGGTAGAACAAAAGTTTTTTATATCGATGGGATGAACGTCATATTAAATTTTCAAAACTTAAGAAACATGTTTTGGACAAACTGACAAACTGACAAACAGAATTAAATTTTCATTTTGGGAAGAAGAAGGAAATCTTATTTTGGCTATAACTTTTGAACGGAGCGTCGGATTTTGACAAATGACCCCTCATTCGACGGGTATTTTCAAAAGGAATACAACTAAAACATTGCGAGGGGGCATTTATCCCCACCGGCCCCAACAGCTCCAAATTTCGAAATTTTCATTTTTCACTTTCACCGCTCTCTCTCCCAAGCCAATTGATTTTCTTAAAGTCTTGGTATGCAATCCTTTAAGTTATTGCAATACCTTTCGATTGGTGTATCATTCATTATGATCGGACCATCACACTAGATTTTCATTTCTTCGTGTATATATAGTAGTCGCCTTCGCACACTCTCCTGGTGCGCTTCGTCACTACATGGACTGCCGTCCATAGTGATGGACGGCAGTCCATGTAGTGACGAAGCGCACCAGGAGAGTGTGCGAAGGCGACTACTATTATATAGCCGCAAAATTGAAAATCTGCTGTGATAGTCCGATCGTAATGAGTAATACACCAATCGAAAGGTATTGCAAAAACTTAAAGGATTGCATACCAAGACTTTAAGAAAATCAATTGGCTTGGGAGAGAGCAGTGAATGTGAAAAAATGCAAATTTCGAAATTTGGAGCTGTTGGGGCCGGTGGGGATAAATGCCCCCTCGCAATGCTTTATTTGTGTTCCTATTGAAAATACCCGACGATTGAGGGGTCATATGATAAAATCCGACGCTCCGTTCAAAAGTTATAGCCAAAATAAGATTTTCTACGTCTTCCCAAAATGAAAATTTAATTCTGTTTGTCAGTTTGTCCAAAACATGTTTTTTAAGTTTTTAAAATTTTATATGACGTTCATCACATCGATATAAAAAACTTTTGTTCTACCACTCTTGGAAAAACTCGCTAGTTTGGCGGGAAAACAGCTATAGATAGCTAAAATTCGGAAAACCGTAACTTCTATACTACTACACTCAAAAAAATTTGCTTGGTAAAATTGACCAACAAACATAGTTACGTAACTATTAAAATAGTTACGTGTATTTTGTTTTTGCTTTGGGTTTGTGTCTTTGCTAATTGTGTGTATTTTGTTGTTGTGAAATGACAATTTACTTAGTAGAATTGACAATTTTGCTGGTTGGGGCCTATTTGACAATTATTACAGTTGATTTTACCAAGTTTTTTTTTGTGTGTACTACTAAAGCTACAGACTTGTGCTGCATCTCGTTTGAAAGGTATTTTTAAATGCTATAAACGCCTTCTATTAGGAATTTGTGTAAATGTAATAGTTAAAAAGATATGAACAAAGGACAATTTTTTTGAAATCTTTAAACTTAAAACGATCGCACCTTCAACGTACAAAAGTTCTGATATCAACTTTTGTGACGAAAAATGATTTTAGATGCGACTAAATAAGTACGCTACCTAAAATTTATTCATTCGGCACGCTACAACAGAGAACTTTCGTGTAGATATTAAATATTTGCTAAGCCGGGCCGAACGAGTAAATTTTAGGTAGCGTACTTATTTAGTCGCATCTAAAATCATTTTTCGTCACAAAAGTTGATATCAGAACTTTTGTACGTTGAAGGTGCGATCGTCACTAGTTTTTTACCTCCCTTAGAGGTGTTTTTATTTGATTAATTTGTATTTGGAAAAATGAAAAAATCAGCAATAAATGCTTTACTAATAGTAGCGGACAACGTCGCTTCGGGTATTGCTAGTTATTAATATAATTCTTATTAAGGTGAAAAATTAATGGAAACAAAAATACTGAAGCAAAATATCAATGATAAAATGCAGTAATTGCTTTTCTTAATGCTGTTTTTTAAATTAGTCAAATACATAAAGCAAAACATTCCTTCGCATAAATATTGGTTTCCCTTAAAAGAGTTGTCTACTGTGGATATTTTTCAAAAACTCCCGTTAACTTATTCGCCAAAAGTATATACTTTTTATTTACCTTTTCGTTACCTATAAAAAATATTCCCTCTAATTTCATAAATCTTAACCAAAATTATCTTATTGGTTGTTCGAGAGCTATCTTCTCGAGAGAGATCTATCTTTTAGCAATTTTTTTTCCTACTTTTTTTTTAAGAAAACAAGTTTTTTTTTAGATTTGCACGATAATCGGTTTGGAATTTAATTACGTGCTCAACCCAGTATGAAATTCTATATTTAAACAATATGTTTAGGACAAAGTACTAATGTTATGAAGAAAATTAATGTAAGGATTTGTGTCGAAAAATGAAGTTATTTTTTTCTCTTCTGTGCAGCTGATAATTTAAGCAAGCAATAAGAATTTTAGGATTTTTTTTATGCAAGTTTTTATATATTTCTTAAGTAGTAGTAAGTAGTAGTAGTATACTGTTGTTTTCACGGAAATTAAGGAAAAAAAATTATGATAATTTTTAAATTAAAAATTAAAACTTTAAAATCGTTACTGAAGCCAAATGAAATGATTGAAATCAATCCGCGAAATCTTCAGGTCACAGTAGTTTAAGACAATCTCAATTTCTAATGATAATGAAAACTGATTTCACTAGCATTACATTTTTTAATGATAACGGCACAACTCTGGTATAACAAAATAAAAAAGACATATATATATATATATATATATATATATATATATATAAAAAAATTTAATTTTCTATTTTGCCCTAATGACGTCATATAAGAAAATCGAATGGATTCGAATATGAATCCAGTCGTGCAGAAAGTTGAAAAAAAAAGATTTGAATTTTAATAATGGGCATTTCTTTTCACATTTCCCAAGCTTTATTTTGTGTACAAATCTGCCGTATTCGCTGGGGACAAAAATAGAAGTGGATTTCATGGAAGTCCATTCAACATCAGAATTTAGCGAATACTGATGGAATATTAATATGCGATTTTTTTTATGCAAAGTGTTTTGATGCAAAGTTGTTCCCCAATCAAAATTAATAATAATTAATAATTTGTGTCATTTAAACGGAATTGAAGTGATCTTTGTAAAGGTGCCAAAAGTGTATATTATAAGTTCAAAATATGAGTACAGGTAACATTAAAATTTGTGAAAATACTTTTGACCACCCCTGTATATGTATCTGCAAATTGTGCAAAAATGTATATGTTGAACAAATCAAAATAAAGGACAACAATGCGATTTAGAGGGGGGTAATCATGAGTGGATCCACGGGGGGGTATGGGGGATAAATTCTTCCCGGTACAAGCAAATCGGTATAATAAATTAACACAAAATTTTGTTTAAGTTCCGGAGCCGCTTCGGATTTCCGGTACTAAATAAGGTAATTTCAGTGTAATTGAAATTGTTTTATATTTTAGAAATAAAAACAAAAGAAAGCAATGAAATCAAAGCGTTTCAATCGACGTAAATGCTATCTTTAGTATTGGCCATGAAACCACGAATTACGCTATAGGGGTATTTCGCTGGAATAATATCTACAAATTGTATGACAAGTAACCGCTTATCAGTATGTTACAACCGGCACATCACGCCAAGAATAGTCAGAATAGTTAGAGAGGCATTATTTCACTCCTAATTGTCCGCCGTTTTCTTCAAAAATGGGAATGTAAATAAGTTGTTTTCGTCGTGGGGAAAACAAACTAGATATGCCATAGATATTGGCATAGGCCGCAAATTTTATTTGGTTACACAGCTTGCTTTGCAGTTGTGTGTGCACTTCGCCGCGTCAGAGTCAATGCCTTTGATCGGGAAATTTAGGTCGCGGTCCGCGGAATTAATTAGAGGTGGGTACTAATTTTCGGATTTGCAGCCTAATTTAACGGTCAATTTTTAAAAAATCCTACGTCGGGTTGGCTAACATCTTATCGAAACTGTTGGCTGTCCAAACAGGTATTTTATGTAAGGCGAACCCATCGAATTTTGTTTGCTAATTCGGGTTTTAAGCAGGTTTTCTGTGCAGGCTTTTGGCTCTTACATTATTATACAACTTTATTAAAGTTTGCTGCGCTGGCATCGATATAACCGCATCTACTGAATAGTTAATTAAATTGCGCACAACGTCGCGTTCTAGTCTCCCCAAAGAAGATTCACGTTATGAATGGCTAATGGCCAAGACTTTTTCACGCCAGCTGTTAGGTCCTTCTGGAACCTAAGTGCTGCGTATATATTTCAGTTTCTTCACTTGACTCGGACTCACTTGACTTGCTTTTATCGCTGGGTTGCAGTGCCCGGTCTTTGTTGTCTAACTGGTTGTGGCTGGGTTTGGTTTGGATCGGGCAGCTCTCGCACTGGCCAACTTCGCTGTTAAAATAACACTGAACCTACTTCAAAAAGCAGCCCGCACTAAATGTGGTTCTTTTATAGGCCGCGGCCTCTTGCTGCTGCGCCAGCCGATAGCCCGATCCGCAACGATCGTTAATGTCAAAGAGTCTGGCCAACTCCCCGTCAACAAGCACACCCAGTCGAGAGCGTACAAAGTCGGTTACCGCCTCTTAATGCGATAACTCTCAACGCTGTTGCTCTTTCGTAGCACGCTGCACTCTTAAGAAAAAAAACTTTACCGCATTTAAGTTTGTTAAAAGTCGGTTAAAAGCGGTGGAACTGCTCTGTAGAATTCTGTAGAATATCAAAACCAGTGCTGCCATTTTGTCCTCTTTCCGGACAGATCTGTCCTTTTTTTAATTTTTATCCGGAAAAAAATTCAAACATCCCCTATCCGGAAATCTGTCCTTTTTTCAAAGATAAGGTTTTGAGTGTTCTTTTTGCATAATAAACCTGCTTTTATAAAGCTTTTATATGCTAAAACGCCGTTTTAACCATTATTCTTACAGTTCCGCACTTTAAAAATAATTCTTTTTACAAATTATCAAAGAGATGTAATGCAGTCGATGGACTTTCTTTATAGTACGATTTTTTCTGTAGCAAAAAAAGAGGAAAACACTTTAAAAAGTTCTCAATTTTTACTCTCAGCCTTTTTGTCAGAAAAAAATTTCATATTTGAACGACTTTTATTCGGGTTTGACGCAGATATTGAATTTTTTTGTATTACCAATATAGTTACTTGAAATGCTTTTATTTTTTTAATATTTTAGATTATTACGTATACGCACAAAAATTGACCATGGTAAAATGATCAAACGAAGAAGGTTGTGAGTCGGGCGCAATAGATCATTACATAATTGAATTTAATATAAAATCCATTTATATTAAGTAAATATATCACCCATTGGTAAAAACAGAAAAATGGAGGCGCATTTACTTTTGTCCTTTTTTTGTCCTTTTTTAAACTTTTTTGTCCTCTTTTTCCCTGTTTTTTTTTGGCTTTTCTGTCCGGTTTTTCAAGCTGAGTGATGGCAGCACTGATCAAAACCCCATTTACATTTGTATTTAAAAAAAAAAGAATATATTTTAATCTTTGAAAACTTTATAACAGGTAAAAGGACGCGATTTCGACCCTACAGAATATGTATTACTGTGGACGGCAGTAAATGATGCCCAGAATTGAAAATCTGATGTGATGAGTACGAGTAATAAACCAATCAAAAGGTGTTTGTTGGTCCACAAAACGAAACTGACAAAAAACATTCAGTAATACTCTAGATTAGCGGACTCACCTTCGAAATCGATCTCATCTCTTCGAAAAAAAATATCTTTAATGGACCGCGATTTCTTAAGAATTTACGAGCAAAAATAACTTGGCGGTCGGCCATGGTTCTCTGGTAATTGAATTCCAAAGTTCCCGGTTTTGCTATAAAAAACAAAGTAATTACTATGGCCATAGGAGTCATAGGGCCCTCACATTTTCAAAAAAGGGTTCGAGTAGCTCATGTCGGAAAATTTTTTGGATCTGAATGGCTCAGCTCATGGCCTGGCTAACGTGATCCACTTGATCTGATCTAAAACCTCGTGAGTAAATGACTCCTATAGCTCATGACTCCTATAGCTCATGATTCCTATAGCTCATGACTCCCTATGACTCATGACTTCCTACACAGAGAGAATTATTATAGCATGAACAGAAATAATCATTCTGAGTACAAAATACTAACTATCAGTACAAATTTGTCCAAATCTTTTTACTCAAATTAAGTATATTTTCCTTTTATTTAGTACATTTTTACTACAAATGAGTAAAAACTGTATTGTATGAGTACAAACTGTACTCATTTTTGGAAATTACTTAAGTAGTATTTTAAAAATGAGTATTGCCATTTCTTAAATTGAGTACTGAAAAATTATGGAATTGAGAAAAAAATGCTCTATCCGGAGAACTAACTTCCTTTCTTACTTACACATTATTTTAAGGGCTATACAGTATATGTTAATTGTTTCATAATTACGTGAATAATAAACTGTTATAAATAAAACAAACTTATTTTTTGCTCGACCCAAGTCGACCTCTCCGTCACTCGAACCCCAGACATTTGTGTTGGTGCACGCGCGCACTAACCGGCTAAGCCAAACAAGCATCACATTCAGCGATGTCCAAACCGCGCATAAGATTTAAATTGTAATGCTTGCAATTATTGCATTTAATGTTTAAAATCCAATAAAATTATTTCAAATAAAAACAACGCAAAAAAACAAAAAAAAAATATTTGTGTTTACCGGAATGGGGATTGAATTCACGACCTGGACGACATTAGCTATCAAATATTTGAAGGCAAGAGTCATTTACTCCTTAGACCAGCCTTTTAGAAGGTTCATGTGAGTAATGTCATACTTATTATAAAAATATTTTTACTTAAGTTGGAAATTGAAGAACTTGTTTCCTAAAATTGAGATTTTTGTGATCAATTCAATTTTTTGATTCTTAAAGTGAGATCGATTTGTACTCAATATAAGCTTTTTCCAGGGATCGTAACTGTTATGAGTTTTATTTTAAAATTCGCTTTTTAATCATTATGTCATGAGTTTTATATAAAACTTGACAAATACAACTTATTCTCTGAGTTTTATTTTCTTAACAAATAACTGTTATTCCTTGAGTTTTATACAGGGACTCTAACTGTTATGAGTTTTATGTTAAAAATCACATTTTTACCGTTATTTTCGGATTCGTAAAGTAAAACCCAAAGAATAACTGTTATTGTTTTGAGTTTTATAAAAAAAAATGACAAATAACCGTTATTCGTCGTGATCAAAAATAAAACTCAAACTTCATTTATGACGATTTTGTGGGTAAAACAAATTAAAAAAAAAAAATAGTTACACAATATGCACGGTTGGCTTTTTTTTTAAGATTTTTAGTAAGTTATATAAAATTCGATTAGCATGTTTTTTAATTATTTAATTTTTTTTTAATGTCAAGGGAATAACATTTATACATAAAAATCAACAAATAAAAGTTATTTTTGACTTTTATTATAAAAATTAAATAAATAAAAATCATTACGGTTTTGTAAACTACAATGGCTAACAAAAATAATGGTGTATTTTAAAAAATTTTGGACTCTTCTAAGTGCATGATTTTTTTGGTAAGAAAAATGTACAATAACAGTTATTTTCGGTCCCTGGTTTTATATAAAAATCAAACATAAAACTTATTCTCGGAGTTTTATTATTTCGATCAACAATAAAACTCAAAGTCGTTTAGTGGTGGCTGTGTAGGTGATAAAAATGTTATTACAAATTGGGTATGGTATATGAGCTGTTGTTTTTTTTTAACATTATTACCAAATAAGATCGATCATGGTAAGTATGATTAATTTACGACTGACATAGAAAAGTCCATATTTTTATAGAAGGTGGTCTACTCGTTCATTCATTTAGCGTTAAAAAATCCGACGCTTATAATAAGGACTTTAAAAAATCTTAAAGCGAAATCGAAAATTTTTCTACCAATGTGGTGGTTTTAAATACAAATATTATGAATTATTTTAAGAAGAACAAATTCTTATACTCATACCTGTACAAAAAGGCAAAAGTTTCTGCAATCCAAGGCAGATCCTTTTATGCTCTGAAGGTAATTCTAACGACCTTATACTCGTATTTGTAAAGCTTAACAACAAATTTAAATAAAGTCAAACTTAAATATTATATGTTAATTTCAGCTAATTTCATTTTTGCAATCTTTTCAAAATTTATAAAATTTTTAAAATATAAAAAAAAAATTAAAATGTTCACCCTTGTTGCTATCCCTCGTTTTGTGAAGCTGATACTTATCCACAGGGCCAGTATAGACATATTGAATACTTTATCGAATGTATTTACTTATGTACTGTTGGCCGGAAGTGTATGAATGTGTAGATCGCCTACTATTAAATCATGTGTTTTTTTCTTTCTGTGGCGTAAATTAATAAATTATTCATACTTACAGTGGTCGCTCATACTTGGAAAATATCTTATAAAGAAGCCAACAGCTTACAAAGTAAGCCAAATTTTTAAAAACATTTTTATCACCGAATCAGCTGCCACTGAACGACTTTGAGTTTTCTTTTTGATCGGAAAAACTCAAGGAATAAGTGTTATTTTTCAAGCGAAAAATAAAACTCAGGGAATAAGTTTATTTAATTTATTTGTCAAGTGTTATATAAAACTCATAGAATAACGATTATTTTATGAGTTTTTAATAAAAATTGCAAAAATAAAAATCATTACTAATATGTAAAATAATGTGCTTAACAATGCCAGCGGTGTAGTTGGTTTTATTCTACGAGTCTTTCTTGTCGCTGATTTTTTTGTTTGAAAAAACAAAAATAACAGTTATTTTCGTTCCCTGGTTTTTTTCCAAAATTTGTACTCAAAATCAGTACATCCTAAAATTGAGAATTGAGAATACAAATACTCAATTTCAGAACATCAGAATTCTTTCTGTGTATGAGTCATGACTCAGGTCAAAAATATCTCTAATCTGTGAATCACATATAAATATTTTTGTATGGTATAAAATCCTTCAAGTCAAAAGAATTCGCGGATTATTTGACCTGAAGAATTTTCGAATTATTTGACCTAAAGAATACCCGAATCACTCGAAGCGAAGAATTGACATGACGAATCCGCGAATTATTTAACCATAAGAATACCCGAACCATTCGACGAAAAGAATTCGCGGATTGCGGTTTATTTGACATAAGGAATCAGCGGATTATTCGACCTTTAAAATACCCGAAATTATTTGACATGAAGAATTCGCTGACTATTTGACCTTAAGAATACACGGATCACTCGACCTGAAGATTTCGCGAATTATAAGACATGATAAATAAAAATTAGAAATAAATATTTTTTTACAAAATAAACTTTTTTACTACTGACTCGTATAGCTCAGTTGATGTTTGTCTACTGAAAAAACCTAAGCAAATAATCATGTTATTAGTGTAGCGGGGCTTATAAAA